GTGTTTAAAAAATGTGTCGAAAAATTAGCAACTACAGGAAAGGGCATCTTTACAAATTTGATTTGATCATAGTCCACAGCATTATACGGCGATGGACTGCAAGATAAGCTTCATCCAAAGACATTTTCTCAAAGGAAATCCATCAGCGCTATCACCAAAAAAATCCCAATAGGAGAAAAAAGAATCAATTCCGGAGGCAGAGAAATCACATATCAATTCCATATTGACGAAGAAGGACGGTGCTATCTGTTAATTAAATAATTTCTGGATTTAAATACCTTCCATAAGGAAATTGGTATTCCGTGTTAAATCGAAAGGTGTTGTTCTTTCTGTCATAACGGTATTGTCTAGCAGCCGAGCTGCTTCCATATATTGACATGCAGTTCTAGACGAGCCCTATGCTTTGTAGCACAGTTCCCAGTTTTATCTACAACCAAAGGAACTCCTAGATCTCTGTGAATGTCGCCGTTATCTATATACCGTGGCGCATTTACCATGCCCCGTAGAACCTTATTCTGGTAGGCTTGAATTTTCTTAATGTGAGTCTTCCTGGCACAACCCCACAGTTGAATGCCATATAGCCATATCGGTTTAATGATTTGACTATAAATTGATATCTTATTATCAATAATTACCAAATTGCACTTACGACCTAGGAGCCAATAATTTTCTCTATATTTATTTCCTAATTCTATTTGATTCTTCTTTATATGCTCTTTCCACCTTAGCTTGACATCTAAAGTCATTTCTAGGTACTTTGCTGAGTTATGGATCGAATCGTCAATGTTCGCTCCTACTGCATATGTTGCAGTATCGTCAGCAAAAGTGGCTACCGTAGCATTTTCTACTTGTCAATCTTGTAAAGTAAGTACAATGTGGGACCCAATTTATTTGCCTTTATTTCTCTTAGCGTGGAGTATTCAGCGTCTTGTTTAATTCTAAATATCAGCTAAGTAAGATTTCAAAATTTCTACAAATGGCGATGGTAACATTTGCCCTAACTTAAGTATAAGGTCCTTGTTTCATACCTTGTCGAATGCCTGTGCTATACGTCTAGAAATATAGAAGAGCAGATTTCCTTATTTTCAAAGCTTTTTTCTATAATATTCATTATTCTATGGACCGGGTCTATAGTATTATGGTTTCTTCTAAAACCAAATTGATGGTTTGGTTTGACACCCCTATTTTCTATTATTGGCTTCAATCCCCTTAATAGCAGGTTTTCAAAAAGCTTAGACATCATTGGTAACAGTGAAATGGACATGTAAGACTTTGTTTCCCTCAAGGATTTCCCGGGTTTGGCAACCATAATTACCTCTATGACTATCCAGGAACATACCCAAAGTCCATAGCTACATTCATGATTTTCGTCAAATGTTCCAATGCCTCGTCTGGTAGCTCTCTCAGTACTTCCGCAGTAATAAGATCAAAACCTGGCAATTTTTTCAACTTCAGGGATCGTATGTCTTCTGCAATTTCTTATTGAGTAAGTGGAGCTATGCTGCCTGCTTCATTTTCGATAGATTCTACCAAACTTAGATGTTATTCCGTTTGGCGTTAATATGCTGTCCAAGTGATCAGCAAACAGTTCGGCCTTCTCTATATTGCTCCTCGCCCAACTACCATTTCCTTTAATCAGTGGCGAAACGTGCTTAATCCGTCTCTTTTTGGTCTTTGCCGCCTTCCATAAGGAATAATTTGCTTTTTTCGTAGCTGACAAGCTCTTTTTATAATTTTCGCATGTTGCCTATTTAAATTCTTGGATTTTTCTTTTAGGCACCTGGGAAAGTCTGTTTAAAACAGTTTTATCATCAGGGAGACGCGAACGTTGCCATCTACGTCTGATCCTTCTCTTTTCACCAAATAAATCAGTTATTTCTCCAGGATAGCTATTTGCTGTCGGCTTGTATTGTTCCATGCAGACATTTTTGTATTGTTCCATGCAGCTTTTTATATGATTTCAATATATCCTGCTAACTCAAGATCTAATTGTTCTCTTGATTGTATATTTATATTTATGTCAATATTTGCTATTATTTCGTATTTAATCTGTAGTGCTATTTGTCAAACTGGGTTTAAATAATGTTGTAGTTATTTTTTCACTTAGTTTTAATATGACAGAGTGATCTGAATTAAAATCATAATAATCTTCAAGGCTTAGAAAGTTTTCTGATATTTTTTGGTTATAAAAAAGTCAATAACATCAGAAATGTTATTGTCAGTAGGAAAATAAGTAGGAGTGCTAGTGGAGAGATAGCAACAACCTCGTTCTTGAATAGGTTTTCTTAGCTCTCTTCCTTTAGTTGAGGTGATTCTAGAACCCCAATCTGTAGGTTTGGCATTAAAGTCACCTCCTATTAGATATCTGTGCCCATGTTTGTACAGGAGATCTTTAAAAGTATTTTCCTTAATGCTGCAATTTGGTGGACAGTATACAGCACCAACAATAAAGTCCTGTTTACTCGATTTAATTTTTATCGAAATAAACTGAATTTCAGCTGTTTTAATCTTGAATTCTTCATTATGTTCTATACTTTCTTTTATTAGTATTGCACTTCAACCTCTTGGCTGATTGCTGGAATGTACCGCTCTATAGCAATCATAGCCCCTTATTTTAAGACCGTATAATACGTCCAATAAGCCTCCAACAGCGAACAAATATGTATATTTCTCGTTTTAAGAAAAATTTCCAATTCTTGTTTTTTATTAAGAACATCATTAGCATTCCAAGTTACTATACGTACCTCATTTACGTACATCTTTTCTTAATAAATTTGGTTTCCCCATATACACCTCAGTGTATCCATTTTCTATTTTTAATAATCTTTTACAGATCTCATCAATTCTAATCAACATACTACATATCATTTGCACAATGTCTGCGTTAGTTGTTTTTATTTGTATGGTTTTGTTCTCAGGTTCCTTATTTTTCTTATATTCTGTTTTGCTTTGAAGCGCTTGTGAATACGATACTCCTTTTAACACCTTACTAAGTGTCGTTTTTCTAGCTATTTTTGGAGCTCTTTGCTCATTAAATTTAACTTGATTTTGTTTGGTTTTATTCACTTTTAATCTTCTTTTCTGTAATTCTTTTGCAACCAAACAACCTCGATAGCTAGCACGGTATGATTCACTGCAGTTCGCACATTTGTGGTGAAAATTATCCTTCTTGTTGCACTCTGCTGTTATATGATTACCAGCACATTTTACAGATCTAGCCTCTCTTTGACAAAACTTTTGTGTGTGTCCAAATCTCTGGTATCTTTTGCATTGCGGAATGGATCTGCTGCTTCTAGAAACTTCTATTTTCACTCTCATTGTGCTGTAAGTATTCTATTTTATAGATTTTGATTATCTCTTCCGAATGGTCAAAAGATAACATAAAGAGCGGAAGTTTTATTGAAATATATTTTCCATTTTCTTTTTTTCTTTTGATTTTAACTACAACATCTAGACATTTAAAGCATTTGCTAATGAGCTCTGTTTTTATATCCTCTGGCACAAACGATGGATGGAGATTTCTAGCCATAACTTTAACTGGCCTTGTCAGTTTATTCTCATAAGTGTGCCACTCCAGTCTAGCCCTATTTATAGCTTTTGTTAATTTGTATTCATTTTCATTTTCCACATTTATTTTGAATTGGTCATTATTCATCATATTGACCTTAACGTTTATTTTTTCTTCGTTTAATATCTTAACTATATAGGAGTAGTTTTTAATGTTGCTCAATATAACCGGAGGAGGATTGTGCTTCTTTGGATTTTCAGCCTTTATCTTAGGACTGGTTTCATTATTTTTTTTATCTGTTCTCTCTGAATTTATTTCACGAGACTTTTTCATTTTTCGTTTCTTTGCATTATTCTGTTTAGAATCCAGTCAGTTTCTCTAGCCAGTTCTTCCTCGTCGGCTTTATATAGTTATATCATCAACATCAAATGATGATAATATTCTAAAAGATTTTCCTCTTGAAATAATCAACTAAAATATTATTTCAATTCAATAAATTAAGCAAAACAAACGACACTTTTATTTTTTTAATTCTTCTCTTTTATTTTCATAAATTCTTTTTTTGTCGTAAATTTTTTGTACTTATCATATTTCAAAACAAATAAAACCAATTACAATTTTAACTTAACTAAACTGACCTATGTTTTTATTAAAACATAGTGTGAACGAACGACCAACTTAAAAATGTTTATGTTGCATTTTTCATTTATTTTCGTTTAACGTATTATTATAACGTTAATATGGTACAATGGTAATTTTGTAATAAACATGTGGCTTGCATATTGAAAATTTCAAATCGATTTTTTTTTTAGAAATTATTGTAAGTAATTATAAGATAAGCAAATTTAATGATAATTTTGTAATGTGTCCCAAATTAGAAAAAAAGAATTTTTTTTAATATTATTTTAGTAATCTTAAGAAAATATTTGTATTTTGTAAAATTAATAAAAGTTCAGTTCATTTGTTACCAATAAAGCAATCGGTCGAATCGACCAAAAATTAAAAATAAAAGGTGTTTAAATCAGTTTTATGATCAAAGTCACCCTTGAACATATAAGTGGCGCAGTCGTTGCGGTTTTCAAAATAAAAAGGATGAAAAAAAAAAAAGTAAAATTGAAACACCTAGTGAATAAAAGTGAACTCAAAAGGAAAAATTCATTTTATGTGCTATCTATAAAATTAATTTGAAAAACAAACAATAATATTCTGATTAAATTTAAATTAAATTTAAATGAGAAATTAATTTGAATAATTTAATATTTTCAATATTATAATAACAAAAAAGTCAAACAAAGAAAGAAAAAAAAAACTTCCTTGTGAACATTAAAAACTGAAATTAATACAATAAAATCATAAAAAAATTTTTAATCATTGAAATATTTTTATATAACCACAAACTATAAATAATTTTGCTATAATAAATAAAAAGCAATAAGGTATTTTTATTTGCTGTGAAAAAAAAAATATCTGTGAAACAAAAAGGAAAACCACAATGGCACAATCAAATACATCATCCGGGCAATCCTCATCAGCTGCTCAACCTGCTGCACAACACCCAAAACTATCGCTTTCCCTGGACCCGATGAAATACATTTCAGAACTTCCGGAGTTTGGTGGTAAGTCGCACGAATTATTTAATTTTATAGGTTTAGTTGAAAATATAATCCCAATAGTTAGTAAATATGACGAAAATGGTCAAATAATACTTTTAAATAAAATTAAATCTAAGCTAGTAGGTAAAGCGAGGGAAATAGTGGAAATAAATAACCACGTTTCAATCTGGTCTGAAATAAAAACAATTTTAATCAATAATTTTGGTGAAAAGAAAACGACATTGCAAATCTATGAGGAATTGCAATGTGTAAAATTTACTAGTACACCTGTTGACTTATACAACCAGATTAAGCACATTTTACGCCGGTTGAATAATAAAGTAAAGGACCTACCTAATGCACCTGCCAGAATTCAAGCCAATATTCTAACGGGCTTACGAATTTTCAAAGAAAAACTTGTGGAACCAATGCGTTCTATAATATTTAGCCGTAATTCTAGTTCTTTGGAGGAGGCAATAGACATATTATATGAGGGGAGTTATGCTGAATATAATCCCTTTAGAAATTCCTATAATTTTAATAAAACTAATACTAATTCCTCTAATCAAAATAAGAAAACTTTTAATAATTTTAATAGTTATAGAAATAATAATACCAATACTTACACACGTAATAATAGCAATACTACTGGTAATAATAACAACAATATTACCAGTTATAATAATAATTTTATGCGTAATGATCGCAGTAGTAATAATAGAAATTTTAACCGTAGTAATAATTATACTAACTACATTAATTGTAATAGTTACTATGGTGGTAATAATTATAATCGTGGCAACAGCTATTCTGAATTCAGACATCATCGGGGTCTGAACAGTCAAAATTACTCACCTGCTAATTTTCACAATTCTCGATCTGAGCCCATGGATGTTGATCCGTCTACCTCAAATCATAGAATAAACACCATAGAAAAACAAAAAATCTCTGGAACACATTTTCAAGACTCAAACGAGCCTATAAATCCAGTTGAAAATTTTCAGTTGACTGCCTCGGGGGAGAACTTCCTTATATAAAATTGCAATCCAAAGGAAGGCCAATAAAATTTATTGTGGATTCTGGTGCTACAATGAGCATCATTAATACTGGAATTTGCAACCCCATGTATAAATCAAAAATTATACCACTTAATATAAAAACTTTATGTAATACTTTTATCTGCGATACTAAAATAACAATAGATGCTTTCATTGAGTTTGATTCTGATAGTAAACTTAATTTCCTTGAAATAAATTTTCACGATAAATTTGATGGTTTATTAGGCAATAATATCCTAAAACCATTAGGGGCCATAATTAATTACACAAGCAATAGTTTAGAATTAAATACAGGTGAAGTACATTACCTATATTTCAATCAAAATGAAGAAAATGAATACCATATTTCGGTCCCAGTTAACAAACTAAGCGTTTTCCAAAATGAAATTTTTTCAGGCGAAACTAATGTCAGATGTGATCATTTGGACGCTATTACAAAAAAGGAACTTTTAACAATTTTAAGAAAGTTCGATAAGGCCTTTTATCATGAGGGTGATAATTTATCTTTCACTCATCACATTAATCATAAAATCAATACGGTCAACGAAATTCCCATCTATACTAAAACTTATAGGTACCCTGAAATTCATAGAAAAGAAGTAAATGAACAAATTGAAGAAATGCTAAAGCAAGGCATAATAAAACATAGTGAGTCACCTTATTCGGCTCCTTTGTGGGTTGTCCCAAAAAAGATGGATGCATCCGGGAAACAAAAATGGAGAATCGTCATTGACTATAGGAAACTTAATAATGTTACTATAGATGACAAGTATCCAATCCCAAATATGGATTCAGCAAAGGGTTTCCATCAAATTGAGATAGCAAAAGAAGATACTCAAAAGACTGCTTTTAGTACCACAAGTGGTCACTACGAGTTTTTGCGGATGCCATTCGGTCTTAAGAATGCTCCAGCAACCTATCAGCGTCTCATGAATTATGTTCTAAAGGAATTCATTGGAAAATGTTGTTTTGTTTATCTCGATGACATTATTATCTTTAGTACAAGTTTGGAAGAACATCTACTCGTTTTGCAAAAAATTTTAAATATTTTAGAAGCTTATCTTAAAATACAGCTCGATAAAAGTGAATTTTTCAAGCAACAGACTGAGTTTCTTGGCCATATTATTACTACTAATGGTATTAAACCAAATCCAAATAAAATTGATGCAATTAATAGGTTTCCAATACCCAGAACTCCAAAACAAATTAAGAGCTTTTTAGGTCTAGTTGGGTATTATAGAAAATTCATTAAAGATTTCGCCAAAATTGCCAAACCACTCACACTCTGTTTAAAGAAAGGAAAACGCATTGACGTCACTAATTACGATTATAAAGAAGCATTTAACAATGCTTCTTTATTTGCATATAGAGTTCTCGGTGGGAATGCACTTCTCCATGGTAGGGAAGTGTAAATAAAGTATTTTTAGCAACCTGTCTATCTCAAGTTCTGCTGAACCGATTTGGATGAAATTTTATATGTAAATTTATTTCCACCATGTCACGGATTGATCAACTTTTGAGATATATTAGGCCTCGGGAACTGCACTTTTTAGCGGGCCTGTTTTACATTTTTGAACATTTTGAAAAAAATATTTAACCGATTTACTTGAAATTTCATATATAAGCTCAGCTCGACCGTCCGAGAAATTTCCTAACTCTTGGAAGAAATCAGGTGTCAGCAACTAGACGTATACTACGAGCCAAATATACATTTTTGCCTATATAAAGAGAAATAATCAACCGATATCATTGAAATTTAATATTTAAATTCTCCGTATTAAAAAAATGAACATATAAATTTTTTGGAAAGATCAGGGCTCGAGAACTGATCTGTGGGCCGATTTTACATTTTCCACTATATCTACGGAACGAATTGATGAAATTTCTTGAAATTTGATATTTGAGTTCTGATTGTTACCGAAACTAACTAGCGAGCATTTAAGGGAATTCGGGTAGCACAAAGCGCAACTCTACTAAGAGCCAAATTTACATTTTTTTAGAAATGTTAACTATAAGCTTACTAATGTCCAAAAACTTGGAAAGAAGTATTTAGCAGACATTTTTGTAATATTTTGTAACACTTTCACTTAACTAGACAATACACATTGCGGTCGGTTATGTGCTGATTACATCAGATTTTTTTTATTTTAATACAAATGTACAATTTTATTAACAGTAAAAATTCTAATAAAATCAAAGTGTTATGTTCTTAATTGGTAATTTTATAATATAAATATGCAAAATAAGCATTTTTACTTATTGCAACTTGTGGGAACATTACTGTAAGAAAATATTTGAGAATATTTTTATTTGATGTTCCTCACGATTATGTTAACTTATACATATAAAAGTTAAAAGATTGCTGATGAAAAAATTATTCAGAGTGATAAGCTATAATTATTTTATGTTTGAAAATATAAAGGTTTTAAATTTCAATTTCGTGAAATGAAGAAAATCGTTCACCTCACCGTTTGGTTTTGTTAATACAAGTACTCTTGCGTTTTAAGGATACCTGCCGTTGCATATATACATACCTATATCTTTTTTCATACAATTTATAATTCAAATAATATAGAATGAAAAAATACAATAAAACGAAATTTTAGATAGTAAAGACAAACATGATAGAAGATTACAATGATAATTGGTTTAATGAAGAAAGACGGATAGTGGTGTATACGAAAATACCGGGAGAGGTAAATATCGGCCGCACTCTCCGTCTAGAACTTGGGAAGTCTCGTCTTTCTTTGCCACCACTAACCTTTTCCTAAGGTAATGTTCTACTCACGATGTCTTGATGCCCACGAGGAGGAGCTTTGGCATTCGCCTTATGAGAAAAATTATGTTGACACGTGAAAAACCGTCAAATGTTACACGGTGGCCCTGCGTTTCGGGGAACTATTCAGCTCCAATTCAACACTTACTCCGCAGAAGTGTAAGAATATGGCTTGGACCAGACAAACTATTGTGGGAAATAGGCCCAACTTCAGAAAGAGAAAGCGATTTGTTGTTAACAACCCAATGATCTTCTACTACGTGGAGGAAGTCAAAAAACTAACGACAGAGAAAAAGAGATCTCAGAACCTTTTAAAAACAATAGGTTAATCATCTGAAAAAAGTATGTATTGCAATACATATGTTATAATATTAATGTTATAATATGTACAGCTAAACGTTATGACATTATGTACAGCTGAGGGAAACCTTTCTTAGAGAAAACAACATCATTATAACCAAAGTATTGAATTTCATCAATAAATTTGAAGAAATTACTGAAAAGACGTAACATTTAGTTATTTTAGGTGATTTCAATAAATTATTAAATTATTAAAATATTAAAAGCTAATAGTAACAGGTAGACCAATACTATAGCACTACTTTACTAATGTATGATAACTTAGAAAGGTAATGCGAATAATTGAAATTAATACAAGATTTATAAAATTAAAAGGAAAAAGCAATGAACACGAATAGATGACAAATGAAATTTTGCAAAAAATAAAATACGAGGCACGTATTTTAATACAAAAAAAGTACATGTAGTTAGTCTAAAAATAAAGTATAAGTTGAGAGTCTAAACAATATCAAAATATTTTCTGAATAAATTCGCTAATATAATTTAAATAATAATAAAACGTTTTGAAATATTTACAAAACAATAACGTTAAATAAAAATTCAAATTCAGTTTCATCCAGTAACATATAAAGTTTGGAAATTTGATAATTGGTAATCGTATTTCGGAAAAGAATAGTATAGCTAAGGCATAAATGATTTCTTTTTAAATTTTACAGAATAAACATATATCTAAAGACTCTATTGATGAAAACTGATTTACATTTAACTCCCACCAATAATGATGGTACAAAAAGTTGTAGAATCTTAGAACTCAGATGCAGAACTCTCAATATTATAGTTAAATTTATCACTGTTTCATTCGAAACATCGAATTTTCCTCAGTCATTAAAAAAAGCATAATGGGCTGTTCATCAATGATAAACGTTAGTTTTAACTTGGCAAAAAAAAAAAATCCGGAAACTGATTGTAATATCAGAAGAACAGCTCGTACAAATGAAAAATATGTATTACTTACTTTTCAATTTTTATCATTGTTTAATTTTCTCTTTAATTCAAAATCAAAATGCAAATGAAATTTAAATGAAAATGGTGTTTAAGGCTTTGATAAAAAAAAGTTTCCAAACAACAAAAATTTTACGTCAAAAACTATTTTAGACGGTAAATACGTTGCATATGCATGGATTTTCAGAATGCTTTCGACTGTGTAAACCACGGCACAGTAAAATCTTTATATTCAATAAGTCTCAATGCTCAATTTTTTTTACGAAGTATTCCGATTTGTTGCCCTCGTTTCTGTTTTTTTTTAAATTATATTGATCTTGCCGCTTGCGATATTTCTAATTTTTTTTTTAAGTAAAAAACTGTTTAAAATTTTAAAAAATCTCACAATGTTATACACATTCTTTGAAAAGCTTCCCATTTAAATTCTGTTGAACGAAAAAGAAAGAAAGGAAAATTTGTTCATATTCATATTTAAGTATGGCTTCAAATAACGCATTAATGAGAAGGGATGTATGATTTTTCCATGTACATTTTGGATTTTTCAATAAGGTAAGTTGAGTGTTGTAAACAATTTCAATTAGGTTTTAAGTTATTAAAAGCAAATATGTATGTATCTACTTCCAAACAATTTTTTTGTACATAATTATTTTAAAACTAGTTCAAGCATGTTATATTTAGTGCTTGCAAAATTTATTTGTGTTCTTCTTTCATATTTTATTAGGAGGTAAATAAGAGTAATCATCTGATCAATGGTGCAGTAGTTATTGTACTGGTCCAAAAAATTTGCAATAAAATTTGAATTTGTAAAATAATATTTAATTGCATTTTAGATATTAATTCCTAACTTCTTCTTCATATTTCTTCTTTATTCTTTATATCAATACGAGTATTATAATAGTTATTTTTTCATTTTTTCAACATAACACTACAATTACTTCCCACACTTTGATTTCACTTACCCTATGAGAAAAAAGCTCTTCACTTAAAAATAATAAAATAATAGGTCTGTTTGGTATAAAAAGGTTTTAAAAAACTTTGTTAAACTTGAAAAAAATTTTTAAAATTTTTGCATGCTAAAATGAAACAAAATGCTAACGTTTTTATTTTCGCAATGTTCAAGATTTTTCAAGTTTTGTAAAGTAAAATTTAGTTTTTTGAAAATTTTTGAAACTTTACAGCTGTCGAAATATTGTTCTTCTTAGTTATGTCAGAAGGTTTTATTTTTCATTAAAATGGATTCGCAAATGGTTTTTTCTAAGTTTCACACTTTTATAATCCAAAATCAAAATTTTCGATAAATATTTCGAAATTTGACGTTTATCACCTATTTATAAAGTATTCAAAAGCTCTTTCAATTTCTCCGTCTGGTTTATTCTTTTTTTAAATGAAATTTTTTTTGCGGGAAATGACGTCGTTGTTTCTCTTTTCAAAGTTTTTTCAAATTTTGTAACGTTTAGACCTAAAGAAAAATGATTTCAGTATTATATAAAGTGTTGAAAAATTTGAATTTTTGATGCCTTATATTTCCGAAACCGCAAGCTTTTTCAAATTTCTATAAACACAAAAAGCTAATGGTAAAGTCCGTGACATTAAAAACATAATTATTTTTCTTAACACACGCAATTAACACTTAAAATCGAGCATTATATTAACCCCTTTTTAAACAAATTTTTGCTTTATTTCAAAGACTGCATAAATCGTTCATCTGAAATATATGCAATCTTAAAAATAGTTTCGTTTATGAATGACAATAATTTTAGTAGTGTGGTGGTATACACAAACTGTATTTAAAAGCAGTATTTTCACTTGTTGAAGGGAAAAGTGCTACAATGCAAACCATTGGTTTGACCCAACTTTATTTTAATTCTATTAACTTAAAAACTACTTGTAAAATCACTATCGCGTGATATTCTATACTAAAAATCAACGAATTAGAAATATTAAAGGAAGGAGCATCTTGAAAAAAACAATAAAGCCAAATTTTTCTTGTTGTCTCTTTCTTTGCTCTGAGCATAGTCAAAGTCGTAACAGGCGTATTTATTTCATTTTCTTATCTGGCCTGTACAATAAAATATGTGTGATTGGTAAGAAGGATAAGCTAAAATTTTTTTTTAAAGTAAAAACTAAAAAATATTTTAAAATATTTTTTCATTTTGAATATCTTAAAAAAAATCAAATTTAAACAAAATTCATTATTTTTTTTTCTTTTTGAATAAATTTATTTTATAAATTGCAAACAACTACATATAAGTATGTTAATATCACAATAATTTATTGCCCTAGAAAATGAACATATTTTTTTAAAAAATTTCTTATAATATCAGTTTTGTTTGACACTTTTACCGACCAACTATAAACAATATTAATAACAATAAATATAAATACATACACTGAAGTAGATGGTATGTTGTCGTATTCTTCCTTATTCATTAATTGAACTTCGCATATTAATTCATTCTAAAACAATGTACTTTATAAATAATTCACTCTTATCTTCTATTTTACTTACTGAATTCAACGGTCTTCATATATTTTTTTAGTAACCAAATCTTCACTCTATAAAGGGGAATTTGTGTATTTCATTTCATTATTTCTAGGAAAGTTGTTATTATACAAAAAAAAAGATGAATTAAAATATTTGTTTGTATGCTACATTTTATCAAACACAAACTCATTTTGCAAAAAAATAACCCGGTCCAGGAAAAATTACGTCCTCCGAAATAATTTCAATTTAAACAAAAACAAATGCTTTCTTTGCAAAATTGAAAATTTAATAAAATTACAGATTATGAAATAATCAAAGCACTATTAAATAAATTTTTCTTTTAATTATTGAAATGAATAATGTTAACATGTACATATATGGTGTAAAAAAACTGTTTGTTTTTGCAAATGGGAATAACAATTTAGAACTATACACCTTTTTCTTTTTCAACAAATTATTTTCTTTTTTTACTTGTTATACTTTTTTTATAAGAATAAATTAATATTCATTTTTTAGCACTTATTATTAAATATGTTATTATTTTTTATTTACAAACTGCACTAATTTCATAATAACTAAATCTTCTTTGTTTACATTTTATATAGCGGTGCGTAATTTTTTAAGGAAAAAAGAAAGAACATTTGGCATTTAATGTTATTTTCAGTTTGACAAAGCTCGGAGCAAAGAAAGAGACTTACCTGGAGTTTTTGGCTTCACTATTTTTTTTTTGTCAAGATATCATTTTTAGAGAATGTAAGCGTGATAGACACAAAAATGCTTTTCCTTTAGTATTTCTAATATGTTGCTAAAAATTACCCGATAAAATATTTTCATAATACGATAAACGCTAGTTTAAAAGCAAATGTATGACAAAAAAAAGGTCTTTTGAAATACGATAAATCGTCCGACACAATGCTGATAAATAAACTTCACAATACTGGCACTACAATAACTATTAGAAAAATCGTGTATTGCACAATGTATTTTTTTCATAATAAGGACTGTAGTTATGAAATTTCTGTCTTCTTTTTTGAATCCAAAATTTTTTGAAGTGAACGTTTGAATCTACTAACACAAAGCAAAATTTTTTTGTTTTTTTTTTTTTTGTCGTTTATTCATTGAATATTGAACGATGCACATCTAACTAGAGTGCAAAACTAAACGCAAAAACAGCACAAAAATATTGTTTATATTAATAATTTATAATAAGTAAAGTATCATTCATAATACATGTACATTACACAAGTTAAATTCTTTACCAATTTAAACTAACTTGGAGGAAATTCCAAAAATGGAGAGTTGAAAAAAAATGGAACGCTGATATTAATTATTATGAAAAAAGAAAAATTATATAATATGCATAAAAAAAATATACAATATATTCAATAATGGAAGAAATATTTATTGTTTTTTTTTTATTTTTAAAAAATCGTCTACTTTTTAAATTGTTCGTTTTTTTTTATTTATATACTTCTCTCTTCAAAATTGTATTTCAAATACACAGGCATACAAAAAGAGTCCAATTTTTGAAAAACTGTGGGGAAATAAAGCAGATTCAAAAATAAAAATTTTTTTGAAGAAAGATGAAACGTATGGTCTCAGCCTTTGAGCGTTGTTTCACCACAATAAAATAAATAAATTAATAAATAAATAATAAAATAAGAAAAGTAAGAATATTATAAAATGTAATTCAAAATCCTAAAATTAACATAAAAGCAATTGCTTAAAGGCTGTGTAGAAAATAAGATAATAGTTATTTTGTTAAATTTTTATAGATTAAGTTATTATAAGTATACAATGAAGGATAAAATAAAATTTGCTCTTGGACGAACGTATAAAATCATCAAATGTATAAAAATATTTTTATATTTTAATTAAAATTACCTAGACTCTAGAGAATCAGAGAAATGTGTACATATGTATAGTATTTATTGGGCATTCCATTAAATTTTTAAATTACTCGGTTTTATTTGTCCGCTTAAATCAAGCAATCCGCTCCCTTTTTAACATTTGAGCTCAAGCTCCGCTTTAAGTATTTCGAAAATTAACTACTTAATGTTCTTAATAAAACAAATCCTTTTTCAAAATTAAAAATATTTTATTTTTAAACATAGTTTTTTATTTTTATACATAGTGTTGATATTGTCAAATTAACATAAAATAATTATAAATTTTTTTACATATACAAATTTACATATAATTTTAATTTGTTATACAACGTTAATAAATTATAATATACAATTTCAAACAACTCTGAGGTGTCTAATGCGTTATTAAAAGTATCTGAAAGAATAAAATTTTTAAAAAATATTTTATTATTTATGAATAATTATTATTTATAATATTTTAATTATTTTTTATTGAAAATTTAAATAGTTTGCTTTTCCTCAAATTGCACAAAATATTTAATGAGTTATTTTTACATTTGTGTTACTTTTGAATCTCACATTACGATATTTTGCAAAAAAATTACGTCACTTGTTATGTTCCGCACATTCGGTAAACACAAATAAAAGTTTACATGAGTTGAAAATAATAAAGTATATCTACTGAAAGTAAATTGTTTTTTTTTAATAAACAAGGTTTTCAATAAAGTATGTACATATGTAAAATCATCTTTATATTTATAAGTAATTTTAGTCCCTAAATAAAAAAACCCTAAATTAAATAAACCGTTTTTTTTATAAAAAAAAATTCTTATCAAGAAAAACCATTTTATTTAAATTTTCATGGGGTAAAATTCTCATTGTTATTTCGAATTCTTGTTAATACTCAATTGAATTTTTTTCTACTAAGAGTTCACAAAAATTTATGATTATCAAGCTTGAATTAAATAAATATGAAGGGAAATATTCAGATTGACTTAGATTTCTTGCAATGTTTAAGCTTTAACGAAGAAAATTACTTTATTGCCCTGAATTAAAGACTTGATAATAATTGTTTACTCTTCATTGTCAATATGTTCATGTTCGCAAATATTTAGTGTGAGAAATGTTGGGCTGGGATATAATTCGCAATTAGTACCACTTTGAAAATTGTTGTTTTTAATTTTCATATGGAAACATTGAAGACACTTGGATCTAAAGAGAATGTAGCTAATAGAATTTTGATGTATCATTTATTTTCAAAGATAGACATCGCAACCGCTACAAAGTGGGAAGAACCACTGTCTACTTAAGTACCAAAAAGTTATGTGGAAAGATTATTTAAACTTAAAAATATTCCAAAATTCAATATTCGTAGATTTGTGTACATACAATGAAATAGTAAAATATTTTTGAAGATTTTATATTTGCCCGTTTAGACAAAATAAGAAATTTTCATGAGCTAATTATCGAAATGTGGTGCAATTGTTTGGAGTCCTGCCAACTCTTAGTAAAATGGATAGTTAAAAAAGTTTTTAATTCGATACCAATTGTTTTTAATATCAATATGTATTGTCAATATATATTTAATTCCATTATATTAAAATATTGTATTATCTATAGCTGTAACAATAGAACTACTGTTTTAAATTTTACTTATAGGAAACTTATCATTATGATTAAAATTCCAATAATTTTTTTTTTAATAAATGAATACATATTTTCGATTTCTATATGCAGTGGCATTAAAAACCTAAGACACTTGTATAAGCAGTTATTCCTCTGATTGTCGTTCCTGAAGAGAGAGAGATAAAGGCCCTTATTATAGTCAGCGAATGGAATGAAATTTTTGGCGAATATGAATTTTTTGTATTATGATTAGCGAAATCGCCTAAATTTTGGCGGATGAGCTCTAAAATCTGCCAATTGAAAATTCTATGTGACAAGCTTGACGAATGAAAAATCAAATTAATGCATATGGAAGTGTTTTTTTTATTGGATATTATGCCATTTATAGTGATATAATGAAAAAATCTAAACTATCTGTAAAGTAAGTTCATAAAATGCTACAAACTATTGCAAAAAATATTGATTGTTTAATATTAATTTAAACGTGAAAAAAACGAACCAAAAACAATTCGAGTATTTAAATTTATTAATGAACAACAACCTCGTAATTGCTAAAGCATGGAAAAATTCAATTGTTTTTGCAAAATAGCAAAAACAATGTACATATACAATGTTAACTTTATTATTTTCGGTAGGTTTTCTGAGGTCTTGCGGTAGCAACATTTTCGATCTGATGAATGAAAGCATTCGCCGATCATAATTTAAAATATCATTCGATTCGCCTAGTCCATTCGACTCGCCTAGTCATTCGCTTCGCCGATCATAATAAGGTTAAAAAATATGACTTATTGCGAGTGTTATGGCTATGATTTTTCATATTTCTGTTTAATTTAAAATTGTGCTTTATTTTATTATTCACAAATTTGAAAGCAACCATGTACATCTCCATTATACACGAAGTGGAAGATATATTCGTTTCTGAACTATACAGCCTGTTATAAATAAATTACAGGCTGTAGCTCAAAATATATGTGCTGTGTATAAATAAACGCTTATAACTTCGGTACAATGTAACATAGAGTAAGCATCGAAGACTTTTTTTACAGGTGATTGACTGCTCTTTAATTTGCCGAAGAATTTAAATGTAAATAAAGTTGGGTTAAACCAATGGTTTGTATTGTAGCACTTTTCCCTTCAACAAGTGAAAATACTGCTTTTAAAAACAATCTATGTATATCCACCACACTATTAAAATTATTTTCATTCATAAACGAAACTATTTCTAGGGTTGCATATATTTAGGATGAACGACTTATGCTGTATTTGAAATAAAGCAAAAATAAATATAAAGTGGGGTTAACATAATGGTCGATTTTAAGGGTTAATTTTGTGAATTAAGGAAAATAATTATATTTTTTAATGTCATGGAATTTACGGTTAGCTTTTCGCATTTATAGAAATTTTAAAAATCTTGCGGTTTCGGAAATATAACGTGTCAAAAATTCAAATTTTACGAATTTCAAGAGGCGATAACTTGAGAGGGAGTGGAGATGGAAAAAAATTTTCTTCTAACGAAATGAACTATTTGTTAATGTCTAAAAACGACATCAAAAATTTGGAAAAAAAGGACTTTAGATAACGGTAAATTTGAACGGCCATTTTGTTTTTCTAAAGTTTAACTATAGTATACCGCGCTAGGGAAAGCAAGCCGCTGCCTTTCTGCGTTTTCAAAATTTCAAAAATGCTTATGGTTTCATTGCAACAAATAGTTAAAATGGGCCATTTTTGTGTCTTTGGGGGGTATAAATTCTAGAGGGGGGGAGATAGGTAAAAATTTTGTTCTACGAAAATAAGTTTCTAGTAAAGATCTATGCACGTATTAAATTTCAGCTTTCTATCTTTAAGAATGTAGAAGTTTTGTAAACAGATAATAAAACAGATAATAAAAGTTCTTTGTATTTAAAATCTGTTTACCACGTACTGGTTAAATAGAGTTACAACTATGAAAAGAAAAAAAAGAGAAAACTTTGAAAAATGCCAGTTTGATTCAGCTGGAAATGATCCTAAAAAGAACTGGAATTATGTGAAGAAACTAATGGGTGCAAGTAATTATAAAACCAATCCGTTCTTTTTTGATAATGAGCTAAGTGAAAAACAAAAATATGACAAGGTGGTGCGGTTTAATCAATATTACTGTGATATTGGCTTGGATATGTCAAATAATTTAACCGCAACAATTTATTATTCTAATTTAAGATTTATAGATGTATTCAAATTTAAATTCATTAGTAAATATGAAACATCTCGTCTTATAGATAGACTACCTATTACTCATACACATGGTGCTGATATAATTACAGGTTCTTTAATAAGAGCATGTAAAGATGAGCTTTTAGATTGTCTAAGAAAATTAATTAACTCTTCAGTAAGCCAAGGGGTTGTGCCAAGTATTTGTAAAATTACTAAAGTCATACCTATATACAAGAATGCGGGAGATTGAAATGATATTAATAACTTCCGTCCTATTTCAATATCAGCGACCTTCAGTAAATTGGTTGAAACATATATCTGTACCCAGTTAACTGAATATTTGGATAAAGCCAGGTTAACAAATACGAGTAGTACAAGGCAGTACGGATTCAAGACTGAGTCTAGCACACGAGCTGCATTGTTTGATTGATTCCGAAATCCGGCGTGGTATGGATAGTGGGAAAAGAGTTGTTGCTGTATATTTCGATGTCTCAAAGGCCTTTGACTAAGTTGATCGTAATATTATGCTAAGAATACTTTTTGAATGCGATATTGTGGGTAAAGAGCATAATTGGTTAAGGAGTTATCTGTCCACACGTAAGCAATTTACTGAGTGTGAAAGTGTCAAAAGCAAGCTACGTGATAATACTTGTGGTGTAATACAGGGGAGCTCTTTGGGGCCTGCATTGTTTTCAATTTATATTGGTGGGTTGTTAAATTTGGATTTCGTTGGCACACCTTTTATGTTTGCTGATGATTTAGTAATTGTTTATTCAGAAAACTCATTGGAAATAATACAAGAAAAAATTCTAAATGATATGGAAGTTTTTAAGGCATGGTTGGACAAGCACAAATTGATTGTAAACACAAAAAAAAACGAAATATATGATATTTAAACCCAAGACGATTGAAAGTATAAATATATGTTTTGACAATTGTCAAATTGATAGAGTTGAAAGTTACAAATATTTGGGAGTTGTTGTGGATGATTGCTTGAAATGGAATAAGCATATTGACGAACAACTTAAAAAGGGAAGAAAAATTGCTGGCATTTTTAAAATAATAAACAAAAGAGTTCCGTTTAAAATGAAATGACCACTTTTCTATAGTTTGTTTCATAGAACTGTTATGTATTCGATACAAATATGGGGGAACACTTTCGATAAATACATTGATCAAATACAAAAGTTACAAAACAAAGCTATTAAAAATCTGTATGGTTATAAACATACAGAGTAATGAAATCTGTATGGTTATAAACATTCGTCGAGTAATGAAATACATAAAAAACATAATATTCTTCCGATTGAGCTACTTATCAAAAGTAAGTTGGCAACTCAAACGCATCTGATGGTAGTCGAAAAAATTCATAGTAATGTACAGTATCAGTACAACAATAACTGTCATAATTATGCTACAAGGGGTGTTGTAAATATTAGGCTGGTGTCTTCCAGTGTAAGGTTCAATAGCCAAGATACTTTATATAATTTGGCATTTAATAACTACAATTGTTTACCTAAAGACTTAAAAGACATTAAGTGTGTAAAAAAATTTAAAAGAAAATTGAATGATTATTTTTTCGATCTAATATAAAATTTTAATTTTAATTGCATTATATACATTATATTGTAGACTGTTTGTTATATGTACATTAGTGAATTTTCAAAAATTGAATTAGTTATTTTATATATCTTTTTATCTTTTTTTATCTATTTCATTTCTATTACACTTTAGTTTTTAAATTTAAGCATTGTTATTGTTTTTTTGCACTGAACTTATCAATGTTATTGTTATTGAATTGTATCAATTTAGATTTATGAACACTCTGTACGAGCGACTGGGTTCTTTGAGTTAATAAAATAAATAAATAAATAAAATAAATAAATTTCAGTTATTAATAAAAATAGTTAAATGTTTCATCTTAATGTCTCATCTAAATGCAAAGCTAAAAATTAAAAGTAAAAATTAAAATTTTTTTTTACCTTTTTTGTTAATAAAAATTAAAACCAGTTCTAAGTTCGTTCTTCACGATTCATGTAATTGTTGGCAAAACTGAATTATTTATAGATGATCGAGAAGTAAAGGAAGGTGAAGAAGGCATTAGAGCCGCTGATGAAGTTATGGTTTTGTCTTTGTAAATTCTCTCCTAAAAGAATTAAAAAGAAAATACATGTATTATGTGAAATTTGTAATAATTATGCAAAAATTGTATTATTGATAGAAATTTAGTTAAAGTAATTAATTGAAACTCTTAAGTAACTTGGACTATCATAAGTGATTTCGTTAGTTTTCTGATTAATGATTTCTAATGTCCATTATTAATAATTTCTTAGTTTTCGCGATTAGTTACTTTTTTGTTGACTTTTATGTTATTTTTTTGTTACGAAAATTGATAAAAGTCTCTCCTCTCAAGTAAATGATTTGCTTTTTCTTTGTAAATCCAGGTGCTAAAAATCATCGAAAGACAAAAGTAAGCTGATCAACACTGTCGCCAGACCTATCCATAATAGGAGATTTTGAGCAACCTAAAACGCACCTGGATGGTCATAAACTCCCAATGCTAGTCAAACTAATTACCAATTAGTTTTGGTTTACCGCGTTTTTGTATCTATATTTAGGCTGAAGTGCTGTGGAAGGCACGGAAGTTCTGTTATAGCACTTTAAGCTGAATAGAGAGGTCTCGTTTGCTTCAGTATTTTAGTTCAAACCCTCTCCACTCACTTTATCGACATTTTTATGTTGTTCCAAATGCGCCTCATGTTTCATGGCACAGTTTCTTATTTCCTCTCTTACTTGGAAGACTCAGATACATATAAATGTGACTATTGTGCACGTAATAGGGAGAACCCACCTTATTACGAGGGAACTTGTTCTAGAAAGTTTGTATTTGTTTAATGTGTGTTTGATTGGCACAACGCCATACGTCCATGTAGGCCTTATCATTTGGTTATACATATGTACACACTTTGCTGTACGTTGCCAATTTAAACCTGCGACTTATTATCTCACCAGATAATGGAATCAGACCTGCGGCCTTATTCGATTGAATACTTTGAAAATTAATGTAAATAGATCCATAGTGTTTTTATCTATTACAAAATCTTTCACTAAACAAACACTAGAATTTATATTATGAATTTTACTAATACAACATCATAGTTGTGAAATTAATAAGCAATGTGCTTATGACACTAATAATTTAACTTAACGGAAATTTCTTCATGCAACTGCAGAAACAGATGAATTAATTCTTTGAGTTACACTCAACCACTTCAAAGCGCTCAGCATAAAAGTTTCGTCCATGATCCATCGATATCGATGGAACTATAGTCACCTCCTATAGTTACATCGATATTTTTGGCTCAAAGAAATATCTCTAACTCGCGCTTTCTACTTAGAACGGCATTTGCATTCCACATACCAATTCGTATTTTATTTACTGATATTTGTCAGAAATCACATCGGGTTTGCTAGATATACGTTAATATAATATATTCTCCATAGTAGTAAATCTTATTGAGATTTCATCTATTTTTAAAAGCATGTCTTGCATGTCTAGATTTCATGCCTTAGGTCTTTTATCTATGCAATCTTCTGTAATGTTGAAAGCTACTTATGAGTATGTAACACTATTTTTTACTTCATCTGATGTAAAAACATTAATCGTTTTTGGAGTCTTTCATTATTACCGAGGATCCTTTTGGGACGATTTCTTTTTATCCACCTTTTTTGTAATTCTTCAGCCACTAAGGATTACATAGAATAACAAATATTGTAAATAAGGCGTTAGACAAAAAGAAAGTATGTTTAACATTCTTGAGGACGTGACTCAAATGTTTTATAAGGTTTTTAACGAAGATTTATATTTTATGTACAGCTGTGCATAGCTGCAAGCGTCTTAAATATGTTTGTATTTGTATTAAATATGAGTTGCATTTTCTGAACTTCCGTAACAAATAAAATTTACAAAAAAAAAATGCAATAATTCAGATTTTATTTTATTTTGAGAAACAGAAATAATTTGATAGTTCGTATGCCACGCTATTCAAAAATAAAATAGAATTTTGAGATTTTATAAATGTCATTTTTAAAATCGGAAAACTGCGAAAATAATAATAATAATACAAAGCGAGAAAATGAAATATAATTGATTGAAATTTGTTATTTAATCAATATGATTCGGTTTTTATAAAGCAAGTGTTACCTGTGGCTTATCATATCTTAACCGTTTCCATATAGTTGTTCTAACACCTGTAGATCCACTGTCTGTTATGTTATAGTTAGGGTTTGTAAAAGTTAAAACAGATGATCTTGATATTCCCGTCGATCTTCTATTTGATTTTTTTTTATTATTTGTAATTAGAACTACAAGTAAAAGAAGTTTCAGTCTTCATCATTTAGAAAAACAAATTTTAGTCATACTTATTATAACAACTAGAATCACTATAAAAAGAAATGTAAAAATAATGCTCCAAAATAAGATAACATTGAAAATTGAAGGCGTTAAGCTTTCTTCTTTTTCATTAAACAACTTATAATTTTCTTTAGGCTTGTCATTCAGATATGGAGTAGACCGAGCAGGAACAAAAAATTTTGGAGCTGTGCTACACAATCTCTTATCGGCAATATCGGGGCACGCGCACACATAGTCCGAACCTTTATAGAGACATATGTGACTGCAACCGCCATTATTATTTGCACACTGATTCCAAGTATAAGGTTGCCGACGCTTAGAAATTGCACGAACATCAAGAGCACTACTTAATGAATGTCTTATTTCCTTTATATTTTGATATCGACCATCACTTTTAGTACTTCGAAAGACCGATTTATTATACCAGTCTGTCCAATATATAGCTGAATCTAACTGAAATTTAAAAAAAATTTTACAATAAAAAATAAATTTTTTTGTTTTATATTTACTGAAGTTAAGCCGAATGGATGTGTTGCGACAGGTATAATTACTTCTCTTTTTTTTCCGTTGAAATCTGCCATTTCAATTCTGTCTTGTAAAGCGTCTACCCAAAGAAGGAATTCATTCCTATCAGAGTAACAAAATTTAGAAAGATAATTATGATTTCATTCTCATAAAGTGGTAGATTTAAGAAAAATACTCACGTAAAATCAATGGTTAATCCATTTGGAAAACCTAAATTTTCGGTAACAATTGCAGTTCTATTAGTTCCATCTAAAAGACACCTTTCTATTTTTGGAGGGTTTCCCCAATCAGACCAGAAAAGATATCTGTAGATAAAATTGAATCATAAATATTTACCATTCAACTTTTCCCAAAATTTTTGTATACCCTAATTTTGGATAAATTATCAAAGATCGAGGATCGTTCAAATATTTCTTAACAATCATTTTTCGACTGCTTCCATCTAATCGGGCTACTTCAATGACTTTTCTGTCTGTGTCGGACCAGTAGAAATTGTTTGCAATCCAGTCAACAGCAATACCGTTCGGTGTTAGGATGTTTTCTGATATGACCGTTTTAGTGTCAGCTAAGTGAAGAAGATTCACTCGTCTTATAACATCTAAATTCACATCAGCAATGTACAAAAATGAATGATTGTAATGAAAATCTAAAACTACAGCTCCATGCACTCCAGCTATTGGCAAAACAGTATCTAAGAATTCATCTGAATCTAATGATATCATCCCAATACCAGATCTTAAGGCGATTAATAAGTAATCCTGTAAAAATAGTGTCAAGAGTTATTTATATTTATATAATTTTGCTTTTGTTGCTAGCTTTTAAAAAACTAGCAAAGTGAAGGGAGGAATGAAATAGCTTTTTAATAAATCTAAAAATATAATTTCTTTAATCTCTTTATAATACTTTATTAAAAATATAATTTCTAATATTCTGTATTAAATGTATAGTATAATGTAATAATGTTACAGCCGATATTAATTACAAAAATTTTTCTCTAAAGAATTGCAGGGTCCTATGTTGATTCAGCACTCGATTTAATAGATTACTAAGCAAATTCAAAACCTATTATTGAATTTATCCATCATTTAATACAAAAAAATAATTCTGCGTCTCTCTTTCCAAAACTTTCAAAAAGGTGCAGCACATGCAGCTTCGTTTTATTAGCTTTTTTTTTATTTCATTAGATCTTTATATTATTTTTCTTATTTTGTATTTTTCCATTATAAAACCTTTTAAAACTAATCTAGGTAGAATTTTGAAATAAAATATTTGTAAAAAACAGCATCTAAACAGCGTAAAAACACCAGTTCATGCAACCTATATTTATAATCTTCAGATATTATTTAGGCTCATTCAGTCAATATTGCAATTTTTAATTCTGATTTGACGTTTCTGATTCTTATGGTGGTTTTAGTTGCTCCGAAAAATTTATACAACTTTATACAAGATCCATTCTTCAACAATTTTCGAGCAATGCTTTGTTGAAAAACAATTTTTTTTCATTTAATCCTATTTAGCTTACACTACTCAGCTATTTTTCTTACAAAATGTTTAGGTACGTAAATTTATTCATAGTGTCTTCAATAGATACCAAATTTCCTACTCAGTAACCTGGATGTTCTAAACTATGCAATTAATTACCACCACCATGTTCGCTTTATTAAATTCTGAATTAACTTTGCACCATACTTTTTAATGACCATCTGACCCAAAAATACTATATTTTGACTCGTTACTCAAATATTCATTCTCAAAATTAAGTATTTTAGCACGAATTTGAGGTCACAGTAAAGGTTTTTTCTGAACGCCCATGGAAACCAGTTTTATGTAATATATTTCTTATAGTCACGATCTTTTTTTAACTACATAAGACTACTTATACTACAGATGTCCTTCATTTTCTTTAATTTTTTAGTTCAACTAAATGCTAATCAACTATTAGTATTTATTCAAAACTGTTATTTTAATTCTCATATTTTAATTCACTTTCGCAAAAGCTACTTTTGCGATTCCTTTGGTTTTAAAAATCCATTCAATTTCTTTAAGCAACTCTTCTTCATCTGTTTCGTACACGACCACACGTATTTTTTAATTTTCAGTGCCGTTTGAATGTCGCTGTTTCAATGATCCTAAATTTTCTGCCTTGAGTTTGCAAATCTCCTCCTTGAATTCCCTGCACAGGTTTTCTAAATCACTTATACGCGAATCGATCATTGGTCCACTTTCCTGATGTAACGGGCTTTTTACATTGCCTTCAGAGATTTTACTTTTGTTGCTTTCTTCAGACTTTCTTACTTTATAACCTTCTATTCTTCTCCTTCTAACTTCCCCCATAGAAGGAGACCTTAAAACGCTTGAGCTCGTGCCAATGGGATCATTAATTTCGCTAAGTAATTTTTTTTGCACTGGCAAGTTCTGTGAAAATCTTGAATATTCAGTCAAGTCCTTATCAGCATTCATATTCTTAATATTGGATATTTCATATTTAGTTATAAGGTATAACTAAATATTTTAATTTATATATAGTTATATGACTATTAACTCTGTCATGTTTTTTCTACTGCCGTTTAGGATCAGACGTAAATCAGAAACCGTCCATTTTGGATCAAACGGGTTTGGATTTTTTCGAATTTTAGTGAATTCGAGCCACAAGCATGTTTTCTGGTATTTCTACTCCCCAACCTTACTTGAATTTATTATGCGTGTTTTAAAAAATTAAAATGTACGAAAACTCTTTTGATTATACATAAATAAATTTGTTTGAAAGTTCTATACAGGTATCCCTTGTATAACGCGATAGTTACGGTCCAGGCAGTGCTGTAGTCGTAAAATTAGCATAGGGTATACGATTGAGAATATAAATTTTTGGTAAAAATAAACAATGTTATTTTTAATTATATTATTATTTGAAAAAAAGACGTAAAATATTACATACACGTATAACTTTTACAAACACCACAAACACCAACTTTTCATCAACAATTAAAAACAATTTAAATAAGCTTTTAAGCCAGTATCAATAAACTTACTTAAAGAAGTTTTCAAAATTATATTTTTTTGAAAATCAATGTTATTTTGTCAACAGCTTTTGCTAACTTCAAATAAACTAAAGAATATGCAAAATTAACGTCCACAATAACGTAGTTTAGCATGGTTACCATAGCAACTTTAGTTAAAGAAGAGTATTTGATAAAATTCAAATATATTTTCAATTGTATAGAATTAGAAGAAAATCGTTTTAAATCGAAAACCAAATTGTTTATGTATTAGTTTATATCACTGCTGGATAAATACAGCATTGGTAATAAGAGAACATCTATCTTGAAGAAGTCGTTTTTACTTTTTTTTGTAAATGATTTTAACATCAGAAAATATAACTTTATTTTTATTTAAACTTTAATTTTTTAACATATTTTCTATTAAGCAAACATAATAACTTTTAAATATTAGGAAAGTTTAAAGTTTTCATTTCATTGTGGTTTTAAACAAAATTATCACTTTCAAAAATTAAAGGTTCGGTTATATTCGTTTTCCGTTTTTCGTTAAAGGAGGCTTGTTTGATTATTAATTTGTACAAACATATATTATGTAGTTGATATATTTTTCCCAAGAAATTTTTACTAAATTAATGAAATATTTTGTGTGAATTGTTAATTTGAAAATTTTTTGCAATTTTTCAGTACAATTTTTATTATCATTTTTTTTTTACTATTACAAAGAAAGAAAATAATAAATTTTTAATAAGAAATTTGAACAAAATCATAGGGTATACGCTATTTTTAAGTAAAACCACTAGGTATGCGCTATCTAATTTTTAAAAGCATAGTGTATACGGCGTATACCCCCGTATACCCTCCACTACAGCACTGGTTCCAGGGAAATTCCGCGTTATGTGATTCGCGTTATATAAGACTTAGTTTTCATATAAATTTGGGGGTTATGTTCCAATAAGTTTTTTTACAAAATAAAATACATATTTAATAAGAAATAACATATATTTCAACTCAAAACTAAAATTCAGATTTTGTTTTAAAATTAAAACCATAAAATAAAAATAATAACAATTCAAAAAACAAAATAAAATAGATTCATACATATAATTAAATTTAAAAAAAACTAAAACAAACTTCATTATAATTAATCTGTTCCGCTGTCTTCAAACATCCTACTTCGAGAAAGTTGTGAGCGTTATAGGAGGAGCGTCTCGAAGGCAAAAATGGGAAATTCCCGGTTTACATTGAAAACAAATATGAATACACATCCCAATGGCCAAAATGATTGTGAAAACAATGATAAAGATATTTTTATCGGATATTGGGATTTTCAACTTCGCGTTATAAAAGTCCGAATTTCGCGTTGTACTGAAACCGATTTTTTTTCCAAATCGCGTTATATCGAAAACGCGTTGTATAAGTACCGCGTTATACAAGGGATACCTGTATTATGTTTCATTTTTATTATTACAGTTTAACTAACCTTTAATAAAGAGACAATTTAATATCTATAACTTTTATAATAGTGAAACTATAAATTTGACTTAGTATTCTTTACGAATACGTTCTTTACGGTGTAATTTAAAATGATATCAACATAGAACTATATAATTTTCAATCATATAAAATTGTGTTTCATTTCAGTCAAAATAGTTTCATTATATTCAAAAACAGTTTTACTTAACTAAACTTTAAAATAAATGTTATATTTTAAATGCGATTTGTCCCACCTCTGGTAAAGGTTCACATTCTGATTGACCCTTTGGCTTCATTTTCAATCCAGTTGGACATTTACACGAATAGCCTCTGCTGTTTCGAAGACAGAGATGACTACAGCCACCATTATTACTTTCACATATATTTGGCGGAAGAACAACATCTCGCTAAAAATTTGAATTATTTATATTATATATTATAATATTCAAAAGTTGAGAATACGCTCTAATTAAATTTTGTTTTATGAATTGAAAATATCATTACAAACATATAAGGGCTAATTTGTACCTTAATGACTTTTATATCCATCAATCCATCCATATTCTCCGTATAATTAATTGATTGCGAAAAAGTTAATTTAGACGCCTTTTGTAAGGATTTTGATTTCCAATCAGTCCAGTAAACATCGTCTAGCATTACAGCAACTGCATAGGGGTGCGCTAAAGAAGAAAGTACAATTTTTCTTTTATTTCCATCATAGTCACAGGACTCTATTCTTTTAAAATTTGCATCTGCCCAGTAGACTCTTTTTTCAAGGGAATCTAAAGTAAGACCGTTAGGCCAACCTATGTTTGCCGTCACTATTTTGATACGGAAACTACCATCCATGTTAGATCTCTCAATTTTCGGATAATTACCCCAATCAGACCAAAAAAGCAAACCTTCTTCATAATTTAAAACTATTCCCCGCGGACTTTCAAGATTTCTGTAGGCTATAATACCCCTATAGGTTCCATCCAAATTGCTAACTTCTACTGTATGACGTCCAGCATCAGTCCAATATAGCTAAAAACAAAAGTAAAAATAGCTTTTATATAGAAATGCAATGATTTTTGTCATTACTTTGAATTTTGAGTTTTACCTTTCTTCCCACGGAATCAACAGCTATCCCATCCACGCTGTCTATACTTCCCTTAATTACTGGGCGTATACCAGTGCCATTCATGTATGATGTCATTATTATCTTTTCAAAAGTATCTGACCAAAAAATTTTACCAGTTATCAGGTCGAAGTCTATGGCAACGGCATTTGTAACTCCAGGCAAAGGTAAAACTACGTCGGCTAAATAATCCATGTCTAAAGATATTTGGCGAATATCAATTCTATGCGCAAATAATATAAAGGTTGTTGGGATTTCTTCACACGTTTTCATATCCTTCTGAAAACATAGATAAACTTACTTGCAATTTTTCTATTTATATCTAGATTTTTTTAAGTCCTTTACCTTAAGTTTTGTGCCAACTGGACATGCACATGAAAAATTATTTGGATTAAGCAAACAAAGGTGAGAGCAACCTGCACTTTTAGAAGAACAGTCACTTCGAATATACGGTCGTGAACGATGAAATACTTGCACATCCATGATTTCGGTAGTGTTTTGCATGAGAATTCGTTTATTATTTCCAGATAGTTTGTCAGCAATTAGTACACTTCGATCAGTCCAGTCCGTCCAAAAAACGGTATCTTTGTACACATCAAGGCCAAAAGGATGAGGAAGATCTCCTGTTTAAAAAATAAATCATGAAAAACACAATAATTTCAATGCAGCCAACAGTACTTAAAATCAGTTTTCTCTGGAAACCATCAAAATTAACATATTCGAGTACATTTTTACCAGCGTCTACGAAGTATATTTTCTGCAATTCTGCGTCTACTGCAATGCCATTTGGCCATTTTAGATTCGTGTATACAATTTTAGTCCTACTTTTTCCATCCATATAAGCTCTCTCAATTGACGGTCTCGATCCCCAGTCGGACCAGAACATAAATCCATCTTAAGTTAATAAAATATAATTTTAATTACAAATATTGCTTTAAAATTAAATTAAACTGTTGCAAAACTTACGTATTGGACTTAACACAATATCCCTGGGTTTCGTTAAATTTTTCCAAATTAGGATAGATCTAAACTTCCCATCTATTGTCGCGACCTCAATACGCTGACTTCCTGAATCGGTCCAGTATAATTTATTAGTAATCCAATCTAAAGCTAGTCCAACCGGAGACATGATATTTGTTGAAATAACGGTTTTTTGGAAACTTCCATTAATATGTGCGGTACTTATGGAGCCTCTTTCGACATCTGCCCAATATATGAAATCAGTTTTACTACACCAATCAATAGCAATTGTTGATTTTATTCCATCAAGGGGTATAATCATGTCGATTTCGTACGATGAAGAATTAAAATCCATTTTTTTAAGCCGGATATCTTTTTTTCTTGCAATAATAATTAAATTTTCTGGTGTTGTATTACACGTTCTCCTGGAATTTGAACATAAATTTATTTCATATTATTTGACAAAGATAAACTTACTTATCTTCTTTCAATGTTAAACCTAGAGGGCAGCCGCATAAACGAGAATTTTTGTTTGGCAAACAAATGTGTGAACAACCGCCCTTAAATCCTCTTTGATCTTCAGTGCATCTATTTTCAAAATGTGGTTGTCTACTTTTGTGATATGCGTGAATATCCATTGGGAAATGAAAATCAGCATGAACAGTTCTTAAATGCTTTCCATTTATTTTATTTACAGATGAAACACTTTTGGTATTCCAGTCAGTCCAAAAAAGTGTATCTTCAAACATAGTTAGTGCAAAGGGGTGAGGCAAGTTGTTACTTAAAACCTGTAACAAAATATATTAGAAAAAAATTATATTAGAATAAGATTTTTGCGAACATTACCTTTGTACGTTCAAAACCGTAAAAATTCGATGATTCAATAACGTGATGTTTAGCGTCAGCCCAATAAATCTTACTTGCAGTGAAGTCAACGGTCAACCCGTTTGGCCAAGTGATTCCATTGTTTATAATTGGTATTCGATCTGAACCGTCCATGTAAGCTCGTTCAATTTTTGAGTTAGGACCCCAATCCGTCCAAAAAACGAATGCCTCCCCTGGATGAACCGCAATAGCTCTAGGTTTGTCTATATCATTAGCAGCTATCACTGATCTTAATTTCCCGTCAAAATCAGAAACTTCTACTCTTCTTGTACCAGAATCAGTCCAAAAGAGTAAGTTGTGGACCCAATCTACTGCGATACCAACTGGAGATTCAAGACCCCATTTTACAACATCCCTGTTAGCTCCACTTTCATTTAAGCTTATTACTTTTATAACATCAGTCGATACGTCAGACCAAAATAGAAGTCCTTTATCAAAATGAAAGTCCAAAGCAATAGCATTGTGTAATCCTTTAACCAAAGAAGAAAATTGATATTTTCCCAGTTTTACTTTTCTGATATCCCAACGATTTGCTACTAATAATTGAACAGCACCCCCAAGAGCTTTACATGTCCGCAAGTCTGGCCGCAAAATATAACCAGTTTCACAGCCACATCTAAAACTGCCGTTTGTGTTAAAACATTTTTGTGAGCAAACAGGATTGTTAACAAATTGACATTCATCTATATCTACACAGCTAAAAAAACAATAATTTTATGTGGTTTTCTTAATAATTCTAATATGTTTGCTGATGAAAATACCTTTTCTTATTTGGATGGGGTAAAAATCCTGACCGACAAGCACATTCCTTCTCTCCCTTGTGTGTAGTGATGCAAAGTTGTTCGCATTGAGAATTTTTCGGGCAATTTTGTATTGTCGGGCAGTTTTTTTCATCATTTCCATTAGGACAGTCTTCGTGTGAATCACAAATATGCTTTTGCGGTACACAAATTCTGTGAAAATATAAATATCATTTTATGAACATCATTTTATGTACTTTTCTTGAATATAAAAAGCTATCTTGTTTTTATCCGTGCCAGAATCAGAAAAGTAGAGTTAACCGTATTAATCTTATGATACTCGTACGGATAAATAATTTTATTAATTAGGTTCACTGAAGCAATTTTATAAATATACAATGTCAACTCGGTCTTTTCAAACAGCTGCCTTCTTTATAGAATGTTTTTCTATTCTAGTTTTTTTTTTGTTTATATTTAATTTTTTATTAATTGTAGGCGCATGATTATAAAAAAATCGTTTGTGTAAAATTTTACATTTGAATTTTAATTTAATTTTTTTTAAAAGTGAAGTTCTTTACTTAAGTAAAATAAACGAAATTCATACTTTTTTCTTTAGATAAAAAAAAGTAAATAATAAAAAAATTAGGCGGCTTAGAATCTAAATGTGCTTAAGGTCGATAGCAATTCTTTATGTTTAGAGTATTATTTTATATTAAGAGTATCACTGGCTCATTGTTAATGGCTTTTTATGCGGTTCATATAAATAGCAACAATGGTAAAAAAATATTTCATGATTCTTCCAGTACGCTATGTGTTATTCGTAACTCTCCCTCCTAAATATCCCTAAATCCTAAATAACTCCAAGATGGTCTTGAGACTTTTAACACCAGCCCCAAACCACCATTTATAAATTGGTTTGACCCAACTTTTTACCGACAGCATTGCATACAACAAGGAAGGTTATGTGATGGCAGCAAGTTTTGCATATCGAGTTTTCATGAAATATCGAAACGTAAATAAACTATATTTAGAGAGGTGTCGGTCTGTCTGTATATCTATGGAATGGATTGATGGAATTTTTTCAACTTTGATATTTGAGCTTTGGTTGTTACCAAAAGTAACTGGCGACCTTTTCAGCAAATATGGATGGCACAAAGCAAAACTCTACTAAGAGCCAAATTTACATTTTTCTAGGTATGTTAACTAAAAGCTTATTAACGCCCTAAAAATCGGAAAGAGGTGTTTAAAAAACATTTTTATAATCTTCTGTAACACTTTCACTTAATTAGACAATACGTGTTGCGGTTTATTAGGTGCTGACGACATCGGATTTTTGTAATGCGTTTTACTTCCGCAAAATTAAGATTTATCTAATGACAGAAGAATGTGTAGTTATATACACAATATGTGTGTGTAAGATCATTTATGATGTGAGATTATTAATCAAAATTATTTTGTGTAATGGTTTTTGGGAAGTATTTTGTGTTATATAATTGCACAAATTGGATGAATTTGAATGATCTTTTCAATATATTTTTGCCGAAATTCCAAGGAAATGACCTATTTCGTTCAATGCATGGAGCCAATGTCTTTGCTATATCTATGCATCACATCTATCTCGCAAAATCTGCCTCTCTAAATCTTTCTGAAGTGGGCAAAAATATTTTAAAATTATTTGTGAAGTTAAGGGGGTAGGTTTTCTAAAGAGATCCCGTAAAGAGGATGTTATTTTTTTCTACAAGTTTTATTTGTTTTGTCATGGGATTAAAAGACATATTTTGATCAAGGTAAAAGTTTGACATTTATCAGCTCAGAAAAATTAGCAGCGCTTTGAATACAATCCTAAATAGATGTTCAATAAATACGTCTGGAATAAAACTTGAAAAAACTTTAGAAAGAGAAACAATGACGAAATTTCTCGCAAAAAAAAAAAATTTTTATTTAAAAAAAAAATCAGACGGAAAACCTAAAAAACATTAAAAACTTTGTAAATACGAGTATGTGATTTTTATAAAATTTTTAAAAGTTTTTAAAAACTTTCTTATACCAGACAGCCTTAATGTGACACCTAAAAGCATAAAGCAAATTATTTTTGACAAATATTTTAAGCAAGAATTAAACAATAATAATAAACAATAATGTTTGCTTCAACTCATAATTGTTTAAAGCCTAAAGTCTAACTTATTGCAGTAAACTGTTTCTAAATCGATTTTCTCCAAGCCAAAGTCGGTTAGTCCAAGTCAAAGTTGCTTAGTATGCAATTCAACATTTAATGCCATGGCGAAATTTATGGTTTTTTAAAACAAGAGATCTTGAATTCCCAGAGCGTAAATACGACACTATATAAATTCGGTACGTTACCTTTTTATTTTTTACTTTTTAACACGTTATTTAAAAGGATTTCTTAAATACTAAATTTTTTGAGTTAATTTGTTTTTTTTAATGACTTATTGGATAGAAAAATATTAAAATGTAAAGTATTTAAAACTTAAAATTCGGTAAACTTTTTAAATCCTTTTGCTTCCTAAATTCTATTTCATCTAAAACGTGGTCATTTATGGATATCGTTTACGATATTTATGTTGAAAGCTGTATTGTACTTCATTTAATTACTAAGAAATGATTGAAGCTTAGTAAATAATTTGAAAAAGTGTTATATTATGTTCCAAACTTCACTGAACTTACTTTAAGTTTGTCGTATTTTGTTTTGAGGAACATAGAAATTGTCCGGGATCACAACTTAATTCGCAGTCAGTTTCGTCTTCGTTTGCAGAACAATCCGAAAAACCATCGCAAAGCCATATATTCTGAATAAAAATTAAACATAAATATTCATTTGAATGTAAATATAAACAAAATTCAGGCAACATTACCAATATACATCGACCATTTTTACATGCATATTCATCTTCAGTACAAATCTTAGGAAAACTATCTGTTGTTTCTAAACAATCTTTTTCATCATCTCCACCGTCGCAATCTTGTTCTGTAATAGAATGAAACAAAAAATATAAATATTTACATAATATTACATAAATTTAAAGAGCAAGTGTAGTTTAACATTTAAACAAAAAATATTTTATTGCAAATATATCACAATTTGTGATATCCTTTTATACTTTCATCTTAAGAGAAACAAAATTTTGGATAATTATTTGGCGGACCTTGTTATTTTAAAATTGTCGAATTACTTTGAATTTTAATCGATCGGTGTACATACTTCCTTGTATCTTCATATAGTACGCCAATGCATTAAAAATAGAATGCCGATTTAAAAAACAAAAATTCTACAAATTACAGGTTATTGGCATAAATATTATTTAAATTAATATTTATAACTCTTAGTAAAAATTATCCTTATTTTCTTTATGATAACGTTTGAATTTTGCAAGATCAAATTAATTAAATTTTGTTTACATTTCCGAACAGTTCTATAGATTTCTATGCAGTCTTATACATCCCGAATGGATATGTATATTCTTGCTTAGCGTTAAGTTCTGCGTTGATTTAGACATGTCCGTCCGTCCGTCCCATCGCACGATAACTCCAAAATGAATAATACAATCGAAAATAAACTTTCACAAATTGTTTCTTATTTGTCAACGACGACTGCTATTGTAATTGGACCAATTCGGACAACGGGTTCGGGGAGCTGCCATACAACTAAAATAGGTTTTTTTAAATATTTCAAAAATTAATAGAGATATTTATATCAAATTTTGTAAAGGTGTGTCCAATCACGTTCTACATATATTCCAAAAATTTTAATGAAATGAAGTTAATTTTAAATATTTGTAAAAATAATAAAGCTAGATTCATGAAACTTGGCAGTCGCGCGTCCAATTATACACCTCCAGGACTTAATATGTGATAAAGTTTCCATTCCACCAAAACTATATCAGGGATATAATTTAAAGGAATGGCTTGACAGGTTCGGGTAACTGCCATAGTACTCCAAAAGAAAATTTGTAATATAAAAAAAAATCTGATATGGTCAGCACATAGCCGACCGCAATGTATACTGTCTGATTAAGTGAAAGTGTTACAAAATATTGTAAAAATGCCTGTTAAATACATCTTTACAATTTTTAGGGTATTACTAAGCTTATAGTTAACATATACCCAGAAAAGAAAAATGAAAATTTGGTTCTTAGTAGAACTTCGCTTTGTGCTACCCGAATTTCCTAAAATGCTCGCCAGTTAGTTTCGGTAACAACCAGAACTCAAATATCAAATTTGAAGAAATTCGATCAATTCGTTCCGTAGATATGGTAAAAAATGTAAAATCGGCCTTCAGTTCAGTTTCCGAGCCCTAATCTTTCCAAAAAATTTGTAGATTCATTACTTTAATGCGAAGAATTTAAATATTAAATTTCAATTAAATCGGTTGATCATTTCTCTTTATATACGCGAAAATTTATATTTGGCCCATAGTAATCCCAAAAGTTGATCAATCCGTGCCATAGTTGAAATAAACTTACATATAAAATTTTATCAAAATCGGTTCAGCCAAACATGAGATATACACGCGTACACACAGACCGACAGGTTGCTAAAAATAGTTCATTTACACTTCTCTACTATGGACAAGTGCGTTCCCACCGAAAACTCGATATGCAAAATTTGTTGCCATCACATCACCTACCTATTGTATTCACAATATGGTCGGTAATAATAGAGAGAATTTCAGGTCAGATGTAACCCTGAAGCTTTAGTAGAATGGATGACAGGTTTGGGTAGTTACCGTAGATCTCGAAAAGCTAATTTAAAATATTAAAGAAAAAAAAATAGAGTTAGATTTGTAACACATATCGCCGAAGTTTGAAGACCCTGAATGATTTGAGAGTTTCGGCTACCTGTAATGCAACTCTAAAAAGAAATTTTAAATATTTGGAAAAACATTAAAGATAGATTCATAAAACTGGGAAGTCGTGTGTCCAATTATAGGTCAGACATAATATCAGAGAAGTTTCTATTGAGTGGTTTGACAGTTTCGAGTAATTATAGTACCATTTAACAATGAAAACAAAAGCAAATTTTAAAACTTAGATTGTCAAAGTGCAGGGTATAATTTAGTTGGTATAAACCGAAACTTGTTTTAGCCTTTTATAATTCTGAATTTAAACTTCAGAATTTTTTATAATAAAGTAGAAAAACAGAAAATCATGAATTTACAGTAAATTTAAACACGATTTATCGAATATGTAATATGTTAATTGAGTAACTGAATATTTTAAGTTAAGGAAATTGTAGTTACCTTTGTCGCATTTCCATCTATTGGGTATACAAGTTCCATCATCACATCTAAAATAAATAAAAGTGATTTTAAAGTGTCTCAAAAATTAGAAAGCCAATTAACGAGAACTTACCTGAATTCAACAGATGCACAATTGTTTACTTTTTTCATGCATCCTTCTTCATCAGACCAATTTCCGCAGTCATTTTCACTATAATGAAGTAGAACATACAAATTAAAAATAATCAACTGTAACTGAATATCTAAATTTTAAGGTATAGTTTTATTCTACATACATGAATAATTGTGTATTTGTGCATAAATACTTATTTTTATTATTTAATTAATTAATACAAATAAGTTTTTGATATAAGCTGTACTTACCCATCACATCTAAATTTATTCAGAATACATCTTCCACCGAACCCTGCAGAACTTTTACCAGCTCCCTCACATTTAAATTCTCCTTCAGGGCAGATTCTGAGGGACATTTCACAATTGTTTTCATCAGAGCCATCATAACAATCCTTAAAAATTAAGAAGTATAATTTCACATAAATTTAGGTTTAAATAAGTTTTGATGGCAAAATCTGCCGTTCAAATACTATTTGTCATCAGGTGTTATTTAAAACAAACCATGCAAGATTTAAAATCAGCATAAAAAATTATTAGGTTGATATTACTATACAGGAATGTTGAAAGACATATCTAATTTTTTGATTTTAGAAAACGAAAAAATTTTAACTAATATTTCTATTTCAAATACATTAAATTTTTATCATTTATTATCATTGTTTATTGTTCAACGATAGAACAGATTTACAACAATTATTTACAATGACAAAAATTTAATATACAACTAAATGTAAAGTGGAAACATATTATATGTTTCCACTTTACATTTAGTTGTATAAAAATATTTTTATATTTGTACACAACTATTTTTATATTCTTGTATTTCGCATATAACATTTTTGTTGTTTGTTTTGACAAATATTAAAATACTTTTAAAAGAAAAGGATCTGAAAACCTCTTTCCAGTTGCATATTTTAATTATAAAGTGGCTTAGAACTGGTTCCAGTTCGACTAATTTATTTTATTTTTAAGATTCGTAACGGTTATTGTTTACAAAGTTACAAAAATCTTGCAAGTATAGGGATTATATTTTTCAAGCTGCTACTTTTGTTACGAGTATATGGATAATTTCACTTGTTGTATGAAGTTTTAGGAAATATTTGGGGATTACTAAGAATGTTGAGTGCGGATATTTCCACTGTACTGATATTTTTGTACTGTATAATTCTTAACTATAATGAAAACTGAAGAAATAATAAAATCTTCTTCTTATGCACAAGAAATAATAAGAGCTATCCCACCTTTTGTTTACAAAAAAACTTAGTGTAAAATAAAATTCTTGAAGGGAGGGGAGTTCTTACATATTTTGTTGGTTCTACATGTATAAGTACATTATTATATATTGGCACTATATGTTTAGGTCGTTACCATTGTTAAATTTTATTTCTTCCAAAAATTTTTCAAAAATTTTCCAATATTTCAAGTGATGGGAGTTCCAATTCCATCTTTATTAGATAAAGGATGAGGAACATGAGTGTTCAGATAAAACTATTAAGCAGATTAAATTATTAAGCGATAATAAACTAATAAAATAAACTAAAGTGCAATGTGCATCTAACTCCCAAAATATTCGGCAAATGTACGTAGGAAAAAAAATTTTTTTGAAGAGTTAAAGAGAAAAATGAAGTACATTACACAAAAGCAATATTAGAGTAATATATATTAATATAGTTAAACGTGGTTCATAAAACAAAATAAAAAGAAAAGGTATACTAACAATAATGATTCTGCAATACTATTTTAGTCAATCAGAGGTTTTATACAGCCCCTACTAAATATACCAAACTTTTGGTTGTCTTTATACCAAACTTTTTTCCGTTTTTTATCAAATGTTTTTTGAAATTTTAAAGCAACTGCAATCTTAGAAACTTATTCAATCACAACTAAATTGTTCAGACTATAGTGATATATACCAAATCTGCTTTGTAAGTCTATTTGGGTTTTAAATGTAATTCACTGTGTTTTAAAAATTTATTTAATATAAAAAATAAACATCTCTTTCCAGTATTCAATAAAAAACATTTTGAGTTTCGGTGAAAAGTTGTAAGCTGTAAATTATAATGTTGAAAATTTAAGCTGAATTGAGCTAAAATAACAAAAGTACGCATATCTAAAAAAACATCAAGAAAGTTTTGCAAAAGTTTCAAACTTATTTTTATAATAATTTGAGTTATTAATTTGGTTTATAGAAGGATTATGCAGAGAGTTTTCCATTCGAAAATATGAAAAATAATAAACCATTTTAGCTTTGAAGAAGAAACAAATCGAAGAAATTAAATGGGGGTGAAAAACGAGAGATTATTCTCTTTCTTCAATTTTATAAAATAGATGGAAAATTTATAAAATAAATTGAAAATTACTATGAGAATTTAAAGGTCGAATTTATTTCAATATTTTGACTAATATTTGTGGTTAAAGTTCAAAACAGTAGAAATATTATAACAGCAGTGCGGATAAACCCATTGTTTTTTAATATTTTAATAAAAAGAAAATAAATAGGAATTTGTTAAGTCTAATATTACATTGAAAATACATAGTTTGATATTTATGAAAAGTATTTTTAAATATAATTATATTTTCTTATTAAAATAAAATTTACCCTATCTCCATCACACTGATACGTGATCGCAACACAGGAGCCATCATCGCACTGAAAATCTTCTGAAGTACAACTAAACGTGAAAAAAAAGAGTTTTATTAAAACAACTTGAATTTCTGGGAAGATTCAGACGTTCATATAAATTATTTTAGAATTTTGAGTACATATATAAACTTTCGTTTTATCGAAGTAGATTAACCTATAGCTAGATAGTTTATCTAATAAATTAAAATTAAAATTTGAAAATTTAATTTGTTTTGAATTTTTTCCGTCGGTATTCTAACAGTATCATTTTTACCAATTTTCCAAAACACATTGAAAGAAAGGAGTTGTTTCCATAAAGGAGTTTAATTCCATATACGCAGAGTGGAAGCAAATTGCCTTTTATACCCCGGTATAGAATTTTTTAAACATTGAAATGATAATATGACCGTTAAAATTAAACGTTATCTAAAAGCCGTTTTTTTCAAAGTCTTCTAGACGGTAAAAGTCTGAAATTTTTGGCAGATTTTAGATACTAATAAATAAATTATTTCGTTAGAACAAATATTTTTTCTTTGAAATTTGTAAAATTTGATTTTTCAGTGCCTAACATTCACAAGCTGAGCTCACTTAAACCTTGAATTCGATTATTATATTAACGCTTCTTCTAATTTTCTTTTGTAATTTAAAATATTTTGGCGTATTAACGAAAGTGGCTTAAATATTGTAGAAAATTGTTTTTAAAAATAATATTTTCATTTGTTAAAAGGAAGAAGTTCACAAAGCATTGGTTTTTGAATAATTTTTATAACAAGTACTATCATAAAAAGATTAGCAAATTTTTTAAATTTGCAAGAAGCTTGAGTTATTTGATGGTAATTCTAAACATTGTTGAAACTACCTTCTAAGTTTTTTACTGTTCTGTGCAAAGAGAAAAGCTAGTGGCATCGTTCTAGCAGTTTCAAATTTGGAATTTCCCATATATTATTATTGACATTCAATGTACTCACGCAAATGATTTGCAGTTCGTTTCATCTGAAAGGTCACCGCAATCGTTTTCCGCATCACATATCCATGAATTTGGGATACAAAATCCATTTTGGCATTGAAATTGGTCACTTGTACAGTTCTTATGTATATCTCCTTTAATGGATTTTAATAAATATTTTGTAAAATAAATAGAATTTTTAAAGCTACGAATTTTCTTACCACAGTTGCTCTCATCTTCATGATTACCGCAATCATTGTCCCCTGGAAATTTTGCGAAAATAAATTAAAAGTTATCGTGAAAAATAACTTAATTTGTAGTTGTTGTCAAATATTTTAAATATTTACATAAATGAAGCTGAAACGCAGAAACTTACCATCACATAACCATTGCTTTAGTATACATTTGTATGTTTTAGGACACATTACATGCAAACCGGAAGCTTCACAATTCGCAGTAAATCTTTTAATATCTTCTCCATATTTGTCGCAATCCTTTTCATCTTCTTCTTTCAAACAATGAATTGTTTTATCACATCTTTCACTTTTTTGTATGCAAGAACATGATAAAGGACACAACCATTCCCAATCTGCACATGTTTTTGTGCACAATAATGGTAAATTTTGTTCTAATAATGATGATTCATCTTGAACTACAGTAATCCGAGGAAGAAAAGCTTTGTCATTTCCTCTTAAGATGTTCTCAGTTCTCTTATTATCGTCTTTTACGCCATAATCTGGACGACTGTTTCTATTGGGTATACCGCGAACAGAATCATTTGTTCTAAGGTCTATGGAGTATACAAAATCGTGATTTTTAGTTCCTTGGGAGTTATGCGCTGCTTTTGCTACTTCTATGCTTTTTGTGTTTTTTACAGATTGTATGTTGTGCTTTGATTCATTCATCATATTATTTGGTTTAATTTTATCTGTAGAAAATGCTAAAAACCCAAAAAAAATATGTTAGCATTTTCATATATGTACTAGTCGTGTGTGCTTGCATTGCAAGCCTTGCAGGTATTACACCTGTAGTTTTGAAATTGTGTTCCATTCTGTGTGTGAGATATTTTAAGTTTATTTTTTTTCTTCAAAAACACACCCATAATATACATTTCCTAATATTTTATAAGATAAGACTTAAAATAAGAAAAGCTCTTAAAACTAATTACGAAAAATACATAATTAAGCAAATAATTAGTTGCTTTGAGATCTAATATCTTTTGAGTAATTTATTTCAGAACCACGCTTTGAGTTATGTCGCAAAAAATTGTAAAATACCTTTGACAATAAGCACTTTAAGCGATCAATTACTGTATACGCAAAAAATAATTCGCTACTAAAATTCATCCACATAATTATTATGTATTTGGATTTTATAATACAGGCGAATAAAACGCGTGAATGTATAATTTGTTAATGCTAATACTATATAATAGGGTAATAGTATATAGGTATGCGTATAGCATACGATTTCTATGCAAAAAGTCCCAGGTTCGAAACCTGAAAAATGCGATTTGCCAGAAGAACTTTTTCTTATTGATAATTTTATTGTTTTTAAAATGAAATTAAAAAGGCTTCATCCTTAGAAATCAATATCAGCGGGTTTCCGTTCCAAATATATTTTTGAAAATACACTATTTGTAAAAAGTTTAATGCAATAGAATAACATTTTCTTATAAAATTTTGTCCTAACAATATATTGTCAAAAAGTTTAATGTACATTTATGTTTTGCTTACTAATAAATTTTGCAGCAGATCGCGAAAAGAATACATAACTAAATGCGTACGTACATACTAATTATAAAACAACGTAGATTTTATTAAATCTTTACAATTTTCTTAAGAAAGTGTTCACATTTTGTAATAACTCACACTTCCAAATATGAATTTACATACAATATTTATACCTCCAAAAGTAAACAAAAATTACCCCTACAGGATGTAGTACCATTTTGTAAAAACGGTCTCAAAGCATTTTGGAAGAGGGTGAAGGGAAAGGGGGGGGGAATGAATGCTTTTATATATAATGTATATATATAATGTATACATACATATTTATATAGATATGTAGAAAATACAAATAACTACAACAAAAGTTTATTTTTGGAAAGCGTGAAGTGTTTCACAAGTTTTTCCTTCCGTGGCAACGACGGCTGCTATTATAATTGGACCGATTCGGACAACGGATTCGGGTAGCTGCCATACAATTCAAAGAAGTTTTTTTCAATATTTCAAAAAATAATAGATATATTAATATCAAATTTTGCGAGGATGTGTCCAATTATATTTTATATATGTTCTGAAAATTTTAAAGGAATGACTTTATATATGTATGTTCTGAAAATTTTAATGAAAAATTTTAAATATTTGTAAAAATAATACAGTTAGATTCATGAAACTTGGCAGTCTTGTGTCCAATTTCAGATCAAATTTAATTCTGAAGTTTTGGTGCAATGGCCTGACAGGTTCGTGTAGCTGCCATACAACTCCGAAAGTTAATTTTAAATATTTAGAAAAATATTAAAGCTAGGCTCATGAAACTCGGCAGTCATCTGTCCAATTTCAGGTCAGATGTATTTCTGAAGTTTTGGTAGAATTACTTGACAGGTTCTGGTAATTGCCATACAACTCCGAAATTAATTTTAATTATTTGGAAAAATATTAAATCTATGCTCGGCAGTGGTGTGTCTAATTTCAGGTCAGATGTATTTATGAAGTTTTGGTAGAATTGCTTGAGAGGTTCGGGTAACTGCCATACAACTCCGAAAGTTTATTTTAATTATTTGGAAATATATTAAAGCTAGATTTATGAAACTCGGCAGTCGTGTGTCCATTTACAGGTCAGACATAATATCCGAGAGTTTCTATTAAGTGGTTTGACAGGTTCAAGTAATTGCCATTTAGTTATTTTCTAAATATTTAAAAAAAAAAGTTTTAAATTCAGATTGTCAAAGTGCAGGGTATTATTCAGTCTGTTTATATCGACTGAAAAGTTTTTACTTGTTTTAAATTTCAAATTTAAAAATTTAAATCATTAGAGTTTTCATTTGTTAATATTAAAAACAAAGAACCAACATATACAAATGCTTGAAAACCTTCAATGAGTTTCTTCTCGAATCTAATGGCAGTCTTTTAGTATTTAAAACAAAAATGTTGAGGTTTTACTAATTTTTTTACAAATTTATAGTATAACAAGAATTATTTTGTACATTTTTTAAAAAAATTTGTAAAAAATGCTTATTAGTTTTATTTAGTCTGTCTGTTCGTTTAAACGCCTGTTGGCATATTTTTTCGTCCATAGAAAGCTGAAATTTTATATGTAAATATATCCTTACTAGAAACTTATTTCGGTACAAGAAAAGTTTTACCTATCTCCCTCTCTCCAAAAGTTATACGTTAGCGTTTGTTATTTTAAACTATTTATTGAAACACTTGTTGCGGCTGGTTTTTTTCTACCGTGGTACAACTAGGGTAAACTTTAAATAAAGTTGGGTCAAACCAATGGTTTGTATTGCAGCACTTTTCCCTTCAACAAGTGAAAATATTGATTTTAAATACAGTCTATGCATATTCACCACACTATTAATATTATTTTCATTCATAAACGAAACTATTTCTAGGATTGCATATATTTAGGATGAACTATTTATGCAGTCTTTGAAATAAAGCAAAAATTAATATAAAGTGTGGTTAACATAATGCTCGATTTTAAGGATTAGTTGTGTGAGTTAAGAAAACTAATTATAAAATTATATATGGGTATAACTTCTAGACGGGGGAGATAGGTAAAAATTTTGTGCTACGGAAATAAGTTTCTAGTAAAAATCTATGTATGTATTAAATTTCAGCTTTCTTTCTTCAAGGGTGTAGAAGTTTCGTTAACAAGAAAAGTTACCACGGACGGACGGACAGAGTGAAACTAATAAGCACTTTTTTTCAAAAAAATTTTGGAAAAGCGCTAAAAAGCATTATGACTGTTTAAATTCTTTATATTTTCTGACACTGCAAACTTTTTAAAATTTCTATAAATACAGAATGCTAACGGTTATCAAAAAATAATAATTTTTAACCTAATTCGCCAATATGTTAATGATTTTTTCAATTAAGGTAGTAGGTTTTTTTATAAACAGTGTTTTCACTTGTTGAAGGGAAAAAGGCTAATTAAAAAACCATCTTTATTAATTTGACCCAACTTTATTAATTTTCATTTAATTTTCTCTCATAAAATTATATCTAATAATTTTCTCATATCTACAATTATAAATGAAATGTTTAATATTATTTTATTACTCGTATAGCAAATATTATCTACCTCGTACTGATTTATCAGTATTTTCATTATACATCCATTTTAGAGTTATATTTGAATTTAACATAAATTTTTACATTATTGGATAACATATTACACAATATATAATATGTCAGTTATGTACAAATACATTTTTAAATTTAACTGAAAAGAATCGTAGAGAGAGCAAGGGATATCATCTAGTTTTACAATTTGTGAATATATATTTAATTGCACAAACATATCTATAGGAACACTTTAAAAATGCTTTCTTAATGTTTTGGAAAACTAACACTTTTTATATTACCAGAAATTCATATTTTGCTTCATTTTGTTTTTTTATAACTACATACTTATATAGAAACCTAAATTGTAAGAGTAATAAATTTGCAAATTATAATGTAAAAAAATTTAACATATATTGTAAACTATTATTGCTATTGTTTCAATCCACAATATGCTAAAATGATTAAAGCATGAAATAAAAATGTGAAAATTTCTCCTATATAACCTAGTTTAATTAGATTAGTCTACATAGATTTTGCTGATGAAATGAAAAATTGAATGCTATATACTACTAGCTGCGCGCGTTGCTACGCCTCTAACAAAAATTCAAAGAGTACTTATTATAATAATGAGTTTAGAGTAGAGTTTAGGTACTTGTTATAATATTTGATTAATGAAATAATAATCTATGCGAAATATTATTTCTTACGTAAAATTAAAAATAAATTTTGACAAATTTTAAAAGTTGAAAATTTAAACTTTACATTGTTAAAAAAGAATACATTGTTAACGTTTTATCCTACATTTCATTTTATTTCAACATCGAGCGATTTGTTTGAACATATGTATGTACCCAGCTCTTCGATATCAAAATGTGTTTGTTTTTGCAAATCACTATCAAAATTATTGTTTGCAGATCGACTCAGTGCAAGCATTCCTAATTGTATCAGTCTGTTTTTGGCGATTACCTAACACAAATGAATAGTTTTTAGACGACTTAATGCTTTGTCGACGAAATCGTTGGCACTATAATGTTCTGAAACTGAATTGCTTTGTTTGCGCCGATTGAGAATTTTTCGCCGATGCATTTTAAGTCTTCGAGAGTAACGGTAAATATAACAACCAAACGATTACCGACTTCAACATTATTGCTTCGTCATGGGTTTCCCATCATTTTCAATTGATGGTTGGCGATCAAAGTAAAACTACTAACAAGTAGTTCGACTCTTCGTTTACATCACACTAATGCAATCACTCACCAATATTTGTATACAAAAAATTCCCTTAGTTAAAAGAGTTAAGCAGTATACCTTCTTATTTTCATTTTTATGCATGTATTTTCAAAGGCGACACTTTATTATTTGCTCGTATATAAAGTATAGGGAAAAATATTAAGAATTTTAAAAGCGACACAATAATTTCTGTAATTCATTCCAGTACAAGGTGGCAAAAAAGGTGTATTCATATTATAAAAGCGTAGCGGAAAAAAAGTGTTTAAAAAAAATTATTATAATTTATATAATATAATTTTGAAATATAATAAAAATAAATTTTAAAAAGACGTATAATATTAAAAAAAATTTTAAATAGTTGTGAAAAAAAATATTTTTCAGCTTTTTATAAACCATCCAAGAATTTCATGGAT